CTCTTCTTAGCCGGAAGTCTAAAAAGTACCTCGTATTTATATGGGCGTGTTGATATACCAGAAGATAAAATGGTAAAGAGCCTGCCTGAAGTAAAACCAAAGAGCTGTCACGCAGTTACAGGTGTTTCATCTTTTCAGCGCACCTTTCTCTCCAACTCTTCAATAATGTTCCAAAATTGACATTTATGGAAGAGGGAGGAAATGGCACGAATTCCTGTGTACCACACACTTATGAAGCACAAGGCAGAGATAAACATAGATAGACAAAAAATACATTATTATGCATTCCTATATGTTTATGGCCAGTTTGTGATGTTCATTACACCTTAAGAGAATCCTTTCATTTGCCATAAAGCTGACAGAACACTTTACTCTCCAATCAGCCTGCCGACAAATGACTCGATCCGGGACTCTTCTTGCAAGCCTACGAACTTGTCTACAACTTTTCCTCCTTTAACTGCGAGGACTGATGGTACAGCGGTTACCTAGGAAGAAAATAATAGCTGGTGAATAAACAATTGTTTTCACTTTGAAAAACAAAAAGTATGAGAAAAGGGAACTGTTCTTCAAACAGATAACTGAGAAGACAAAAATATAAAATCAGAACTCTTTTCCTTCAATATTTAGATTTTTACCTTGATTGTAGCCTTTAATACATGAATTTAAACACTAAAAGCAAGGAGATTGGGTGAGACAAAGCAACAGACAGAACAAACTACATACCCCATACTCTAAGGCCAAGTCCGATACATCATCAATATCAACTTTGGCCAAGTGTACTTTGTCTCCCTTGCTGCCGATGATGGTTTCCAACCTTGGACCTAGTAATTTGCATGGACCACACCATCTGTGGAAGAAGACTAAATTAGTGGGAGACTGGTCTGAATGTGGGCTAAGTGCAAAATAATGTCTTTCCATTTTTTTAAATAAAATACTTCTATGTCTACTTCAAAGAGACAGCTGACAAGTTCAAAATATGTCATTTATCATAACCTTAAAAGGTTGTAAATTGTTTGTTTATGACAGGTTCTGAAGGGTAAAAATATATATTGCCAAATACACATATCTGCTGTATGGTATGTATTGCCTTATTAACGCCTTGCCGATGGGTATTACGTGTACGCACATGCCATGCCCACTGTGAGTCAACTTGCTTGATTGTTTTTACACATAGATGGCTACACTTTTACGAAGTCACCAGTGAGCCAATTAAGAGTACTGCCTGCCTCGCCCGTTCACCCTTTTCATCTATTTACGAAAATATTTAACGTTATCCTATTTGCTGTTAAAAATAACACCATCTATATTTATAGCACTAGTAAGAATACGTTTTTCCCTGCCAATTCGAGGAAAGGTGAAATCAGGACTAGCAGAGCCATCTATGAACAGAGATATTTAAAAAAATATAAAAAACGAGTACAGCATTTTCCCCATTTTTTATTCTTTTCCCCAGCGGCAATGGGTTAAAAGAACAAATTGTCTTGTCTAATCTAATCAGTCTGTTACCCAAATCTTTACACTTAACTGATTGTCATTCCTTACTAGATAATTAGTGCATGGGGACAAACTATGCTAATTTCCCTAAAATTCATTCCTACCTCATTTATCACACTTCTTATATATCACATATAAGATATGTTTCAATAGGTGCACTGTAGTGCACTGCAATTACTTTCTTAAGGACATCAACTGCAAATGAGCCAAAACTGCATCACGCAAAACAAAAGATTTCATTTAAAATTATGGTAACTTAAGCTTCCTAAAGTGTTTTCTCTACAGATATATATCTTTATCTTCTGCATTGGAGAAAAAGGAGGTCACCGATGAATAAACAACTATCAGAATTCTGGTACCTAAACTGCCTCTCTTCTCCTGCCATAATATATTACTTCACATATAAAATATTCATAGTTATTACTGCTCTCTGATGACAAGCAGAGTACTCCAGATCAAAAGGTACTAGGTTAATGCCCTTCTTTATAAATACAGCAAAACAAACTTGCCAAGATAATGAATGACCTTCTGAATATAATACCCTGGAGGACTGGAAGTAACTGCAGCAATATTCACAAACACATTTTTCAGATAATAATATTAAAAATAAATACCCAAAAGTATTCAAATTCATCAGTCACAGACATCATACAGCTTTGCGCACAGGTGCCTGGTAGACGCATGGTGAGCAGTAGCTTATACTAATGTAATATCACAGGTTCCCATCTGTAAGAGTTTGAGGTTTCAGGAACCAAGATCTTTTTCACTGGGACCATGAAATGATAAAGGAGATACTGAAAGAAAATCTACTTAAATTGTCATTATCATTCTAATACTAATAAGAAGTACAGAATACAGAGAAGGCCTAAATAATTTTTATTAGGATAACTAAGATTTTCAGAAGACTTTGTTTTCTTTAACACTGTTTGTATTTGCCATAAGTAATATATATATATATATATTCTAAAGTGAAAAATCAAGCTCTTGGTTCTTAGGGGCTTATAGAAAATGCTGACTTGAATCACTTACTGAATTTAAAAGTGAGTCTTAAGTGAATCAACAAAGGGCTAAGCCTGATGTACCTACAGAAAAAAAAGATCAAGTTCTCTTTTTTAGTACATATTACTGCATTTCATGATTCATAATTTTCTGGAAATATGACCATCAATCCTGTATTCAAAACTGTCTTCATCTTGAAACTGGAAAAAAGCAAAAAGTAAAAAAATATTCTTCATATATAAAATGAAATCTGTATTAACAAAACCCAATGACAAAAACACCGCAAATAAAATCTGAAAAGTAAGCAAATAATTTTTTACTACTTTTTATATATGACATAGCTTGATTTTCTATTTTCTTCTGCAAAGGCCAGTGACAATGATGGATATAATTTTTTGCAAAACTGACCTCTGCTTGACTTTTTATTCAATGATAAGTCACTAACGAGGTCTAAAGGCCCTATCAATTCATGGCGGAGGTTTGCATGCTTTTGCCAAGACATAACCACAGAAGTCAAGACATCACTGGACTTAGCTGCATGAGTGACTTGCTTTTATCTTTACTTAATGAATGTTATATTTCAGTGTTTTTTAAAGCCAATACCTTAATTTTTATCTGTGTTTGCACAGTCCTATTCTGGGCAGTTACCTTCAGTTCTTCATAGAAACTGATAGATACTTCCTCTGATGTATACAAATATAAGTCTTTACACTTCTTATTTTGGCACAGGGTATATGTAATCACTAGCTTATCAAAAAAGAAAACTTTTGTACAAATACGTAATGAGTAGCACTTCATATCCTTACACTATAATTTCCCGTCATCAAAAGAGAAGGTACAGTGGCTCCACATCTGCTGCAATATCCTACTGTAGTACATAGCATGCAATGATCCTTTTTTATATGTAATAAATCTTTAAATTCTCATTGGGTTTACTTAACCTAAGAATACATACATACACTTCTACCCTTCTGAAGTCCTAAACTACTGGAATTTGTTTTTCATTGTGGAAAACTTCTTCCAAATGCAGAGAGAAAAGAGAAAGATAGAATGAGAAAAAAAAAAGCAAAGGTGATACCATCAAGCGGGGGAAAAAAACAAAGCAAAAGCTCATGCAATGACTAGGAATTTCATCATTTTTTCCCTTAACAGCCAATAAAATATTCTCTGACCTTCGAGAACAGTATTAAAAAAAATAGTAATAAAAAATGGCTGATGTAACACAACGCATCCTGTTCGTCAGACAATTCTGCCGCCAACAATGCCAAAATTATGAAACAAAGAGAACAAAAGCCTCAAAGGTTGCTTACTGGGCATGAAAATCAACCACGACCGGAGTGGACGACTTTAAAACCCTCTCGGTGAAATCCTCTTCGTCTTGGACATTGAAGAGAGCTCTATCGGGAGTTGTTGTTTTTAACCCTCTTGTCGGCACCAAAGGAGCTACAAATCTCCTTTCTAGATCTTTCCATAAAGCCCTATTCGTCGCAGAGGCCAATTGGGCCAAACTTCGCCTAAACATGGCCAATAAAAGCAATAATGTGCGGGAATAAACAAATATTTCGGCCCCGACAACAATCCCGACTTGATTCAGGAAGTTACCGTCTCCTTCACATCGGATAGCGTAGGTCTAGATTCTAACCATCAATACCTCACGAAGAATAGTTTCTTCACCAAAGAGGACGGAATTGAATCTAAAAATAAAGAGGTATATATCGGAACGAAATACATAGCGCTAGACGTATTAGGATTGTGATTTTAAGTCCTCTTTTAAGTAGGTTATGGCCGGCATTGGATGTGAACGAAAGAACAGCTGATTACTTAATTAAAGTAGTTATACATGACAGCTTGTTTTACGTATTACATACGTTTTTTAGGGCAGATATACACATGTTAGATTCTTAAATGGAAATAGATATTATATAGTTTTCATTGGAGTCCTACCTGTCTGAATGCTTAATTATCTTTATTAGTATGCACTGTAACACCTAAACCGAAACGGCGTTTTTCTAATCGGGTGCTTAATATATTATGACTTCTCTGGACAACTATTTTCTTATCATTTAAGCGTGTAATTGTTGTTATTTGTATTCTAATTTCAATCCCCGATGGGCCTGAGAGTCGCAAATATTTTCAGTAATTGTGAGTCAGACTATTTTATTTGCCGGATATACGGCCATCATACTTTATGGATAAATTTCCCGTTGATAATATAGATTAAATGAATGCAAAAATGCTTATCAGTTATCTACGGGCTTTTGTGAAATAAAAGAGGATTTAAACCGCTGCAGACGACGTCATTTTCCCCGCCTCGGCTGTGACGTCACATTTCAGGACAGTATAAAAGTCTATCGTCAATACTTTTTTATATATCAGCCAAAAAATAATAACACTTCGAGTTACCAAAATTATTGAAAATTATTCACGCTCGCCTGATGATAATTGCAAGCACCGCTCCCTTTGTCTTTTTTAGGACCGAAACGTTGTCCAGGCTTTTGGTTGACTCATGTTTCGTCATCGGGATTGATCACAAGAGAGGAGAGAAACGTCGAATTTTCGCCTTATTTCTGCAATGGCTGAGGGAAGCGAAGGTGCCAAAACGATCAATCTGACTGTGAAAACGGCGAAGGACAAGCAGATCCTCGAGATAGGCGAAGATGCGAGCGTAAAGGATGTAAGTAGAGCCACGTCCTGCCAAGACCTTTTCTCTCTTGTCAACCTCCTCTTGGCATGCCAGCTTGACCGCGTATTTCTTTGGCACTCTGGAACTTTCGATGGCACTGGCGGCCTCTCCTCACCTCCTTCAGTCCTTCGGCAGGGCGGGGTATAGGATTTGAGGGCCAGAAATGAGCTTAAATAAAAGGACTTGAGCCACGGAAATCAGACGATTAGCGGCGTCTTCTGCCACAGCCATGTAGGCCTATGTGGCCTGCATATTTCGCTTCATTTCTGCCAATGTCATACATGCATTAAGTGAAATCGACTAGACAGAGTGCCAGTAATCTCAGCAGACATCAGTAACGTTTCTTGAACAATAAATTGGTACCAATATTATTAGCATTAGTTATTTGGTGTCATTGTAATGAAATGCCAAAATGTAGCATGATTTTGCATTCTTTTAGGAATGCATCTAGTTACACATAATAGATTCATGCATTTTAAGTCTATGTGATATACCTTTACTGTATATTAGATAAGTAACATTGTATTATTTACATTTATACATCACATACACATTATGCATAACCTTTCATGCAATTTGGATGAATTAAATATTAATTAATGCAAGCTAAGCTGTCAAGGAAATTAATGCAAAAACCTACTTGCACATTATTGAAGAATATTTGGTAAAGTAGAAGAATGAGAGAGTAATAAACATTTCATACCTCATTTTCCTGATGTGAATAGTTATCAAATTTCCATTTGACCAACAACTATAGCCTCTCTTGGCTGTTAACCTGCTGTGCCCAGAGAGCTTAAACCACTGCATTAAACAGAGTGTGGGATTCTTAAGTTTGAGTGGTCTGAAAGAGTGTAGCGATATCACACAAACCATCATACCATTATGTATCCCTTGATGTTGAGGTGCATCAGGTTCAGTGGAAGTATAAGTTTGCCTTAGAAGGATGAATGAAGAAGTAAGAGGTTTAGGAGTTTTAGGAGTTTTATGTATAGGAGTTTGTATTAGTGATGTATAAATTTTGAAAATTTTTCCTTATACAGTAAAAATAAGAGAATTAATAACTATTGGGTATATTCTTAGTTTTATCCCTAAATAGATATTGAACATTCACACAAGAAAATGTATTTGTTACTGAGAACAATGTGCCCACCAGAGACAAAGTCCCAAAACCAGGATAACATGCGAACCCAAAACACAAACCTAACCTTCCCTACCTTCTATTGATTCCCTAGATAGGGGGGCAAGCCCCCTCTTTATTAGCACCTTGTGCCAACTTATATAAAACGGACATTAAGAACTCTGGCTGTGTGAGCATGTTGTGGACTTAGTCTGTGAGTGGTGAAATGCAACAGATATTTTCATCATTATTCGGTAAATATGAGGCCACTGCAGATGTACCTGTGTGGCTTATGACTCTTATTTTTAATCCTCTATAAGGTGGCAGTGTCTATTTCCCTCTATCTCTGTGTGTCACTCTTGGTAACCCTAACTAAAAATTTATTTTTAGGGTTCATAAAGATTTTTCTTTGGGTGTTATCGATTTTGCATGAATTTTCCAGTTCTCATAATCAAATTGGTTATAGGAGTTGGAAATTCACTAAAAGCTTTGTGATCTTTGATGGATGGTCTTCATTCTTGTGTACAAGCAATAGGAGTATGGTATCATGCAATTGCTCCAGTCTTTGTGCCTGTCAGTGCTCTTGCAAAGGCCAAAAAACTTCCACCACATACATTCTGGCAAGACCAAACTGGGACAACCACTATTTTTGATGAAAAATTGTGCCGTTACATCTACGAGCTCTCCCCAGAAAGTATGTAGTTGGAGGTTTGTGTTTGTGAGCCTCTGCTGTGCCCAATAGTTGTGGAAGTAAGTGTGGCTGAATTACTGTGATTTAAGGGGGAAAGACCCATAGGAATTGCCATAAAAGGATGTTTATATGTGCTTAATCAGTGGAGTGATGTGTAAGTGTGCAGCCATACATCTGGTTACAGGATATATATATATATATTTTTTTATGCTTATCATATTGATTTACATCTTCATTAAAATGAGTAAAGATGAAGAAAACATAATATCAAAACATTGGTTTATATATAACTGTGTGAACTTATTAATTTTCATTCATTATACAGTGTTGGCCCTGAACTTGTATGTGGAGTTTAAGTAAAGCATAAATAGTTATATAATCTTTTCTGTATTCATTTGAGATGAAGTGTATACCCAGATTTCAACCCAAATTATACATGGATTTTAAGAATACCTTGTAACTGAATTATTAGTATTACCTAGAACATTTGTTTGTAGTATTATTTGTCAGGGGCAATCACACTAATCTATTCTGTCTAGGGATGCCATTTGAGAGTGGGATACTTGCTCAGCTTTGAAGAGAACCGAGATCAAAATCCCTGCATAGAATGGCACAGATGTGTTGGGCTCTCAGGCACAGCTAGAGAGGGAAAGATGATGCCAAAATAAGAACTGTAGTATAATTACTAGGAAGCTTATTACTTGATTGTCTAAATGGTGATTATTACATCATATTAGATATAATTTAACTATAGAAATTAGTGATACATATTACAACTAACAATGATGCCTCACTAAAATTTTAAAGATTATCCCAACAAGTATTCATTTGATCAGCGAATTTGCTTCCTTCCAACTTTAGTTTTTAGCAATCAATAATTATGTCTCCTGTACATTACTGATTACACTAATAGCAGCATAGTAGCATATGCTAATAGAATGAAAGTTGTTAGGTTTTCTATTATTGAAATATTGGTTATCAGTGTAGTTGACGTGGTTGTATGATATATGATAATTAATAAAATAGGTAGATTTTCTTTTTAAAGTTTAGTGTGTTCTCTCTCAATTGCCCCCCCCCCCCCCCTGATATGTAATGAAATTCGTAGAATTCATGACTATCTCTGATGTGTAGTTCATCCAGGAGGTTATTGTATACACTTTACTCTTTTCTGGAATGAAGTTTCTCTATGGAGGGACACTTTATAGTGTGACCAGTCCTGCTCTGTAGCTGACAGACACTCAGTGTGGTTGTGTAGGGATCCCCACTCAGACAAGACTAATGTGACCATTTCTGACTAATGTGACCATTTCTTTACTGATGAATTGACCTAGGGAAGTTGTTTTACTAAACCTCAGATATGATGCCTCAACCTATGAATGCCAGATTGGCTTGACATCTGCCATTTCCACTGTAATTTGAATATATTAATAGATGGCTCCACAGGAAGTTAGTCACAAAGGATTCAGTAACTAGTCCATCCTGACCTCCTCTGTTTACCCTTTACCATGATTTTTGGAAGAATTTTATTTTATAACTTATTACTATTAGTATTGATACAAATATTTTGATATTCCAAGGTCCAGTAATAATATAAATAACAATAATAGTAATGATGTTAATAGCATTAGAAAAAGTAATATTGACTCCTGAAAATTCAAGGAACTGGGGATATCAGCTTGCAACCAAAATTCACAAAGTAAAATTACAGTGAACAGTGCAATTACCCAGAGCCAATTGGTTAACTTACCGCTGCCGGGGATAGCATGCCCTCAGTGAAATTAATTTATTTTGTATATACATAGCTCCACAAGTGCTTAGTCACCAATGAGTCAATCACTAGTCTTGACTTACCTTACCTGATTACCCTTTTCCTTGATTTCAGAAATATTTTATATAGTTTTATATTGCCGTTAGTATTGTTAATAACATTGTAATAATTATAAGTAAAAAAATTATAATAGCATAAAAAAATATCTGAGAACTTATAGAAGGGGAAAATCAGGTGAGGGCACATAGACTGCTAATTGATTCCTTGGTAGCAGAGTACTTATGGAGCCATTTATGTGGAGGTACATTTCACTAAACAATTCTGCAATGAACATCATATTTTCTCGGTTAAGAAAATATCACTCTTTAGTAGACATTCAGTAAATCAATTGAATTTCAAAAGATTGATATTAGTGTTCAAGATCACATGTACATTGTTATAGAACTATTGCTGAATGGAGAGGGCAAAGGTCAAAATGGCACTACACACTGGATGATTGTAAAGTATACATAATTGTAAAATTATGAAATAAAGGACGTTTTTCATTTTTTGTTTTGTCAGTGAGTACAAATTAGTTAAAAAGGTTATTACAGGATCAGCGTGTGATATAAATGTGCTGTGTTTGAATCTTATGATGTACATGAAGGTAAGAGTAACTTTCCCAAAATTTTAGAGACAAAACCATTGTTGAATTTCTATTTAATTTTGATGATAGCAATGTGGGATCCTTTTATTCCACACATGTAACGTTGACCAAATACTTGCTGATGCAGATTACAACATTAGAGCTGTGCTTTTAATAGAGAGGATGTTGTGATAAGCATAATTGCAACTTTGTTGCCCCCATAAATATGTTGAAGTAAGATTTAAATTATAGAAGTACCTTGATATCCACTAAGATTTAATTGTGTCCATCTTTATTTATTTATTTATTTATTGTTAATTATTTTCTGAAGTAGATGAGCAATAAGGCATATATATATAAGAATGTAAAAGTTAAACTTCTTATGACCAGGTAGTCTAAACACCAGAGAGGTTGTAGAGTCACAAAATATCTGAGCTAGCAATGTTTAGAATAAAAAAGCTAGATAAAGGATATGATCTGTTGTATTACTGATGCTGATGCCGCTTAGACATGAAGCAAGCTCAGGCTTACTGGACTTGTAACTACTCAGTTTCTATTTTAAAGACAATTTTTGTGACAAAAGGTAATGTCACGGGAGAAAACAACAGATCAAGAGCATTAGTTCACGGCTGTTGTAAACATATGCTGGGTAATCTTGCTTGATATGTATTTTTGACAAACATTTGATATGGGATCATTAAACATGTGTTTTCTGCATGGAATCATTCTTTACATTCAAGCCGTCTATACTTTTCTCACAGTGACCTTTCTTTTTCATGTCACATATTATTATTGCAGATTAGATGTTGCAAAGTCAGTAGGCTAATTGTTGATTGTGTATTCATCTTTTTTCTAGCTACGTGAACTCGTCAGTGAGAAGTTCAGTGCATCTCTGGAGCAAGTCTGTCTCATCTTTGCAGGGAAAATTCTGAAAGATGGTGAGTTGATATTGTGAAATACAAATATTTGCTGAGAAGTCTGTTATGGTTTTGATATAATAATGATGTTCCTCCTTTCATTCTCCCTTCTTTTTGAATAATGTCGGGTAGTAGATATTTCCTTAACTTTTTTTTTCTCTCTGAAGTACTTTCCTTCCACTTACTTTTTTTCTGGTGAGAATTCCAACATTATTTTGATTTTACTATATTCTTATTTTTAACAATAACAAATGTGAAAATGGCATTTTAGTGTTTCTTGTTAGAGAAGTTATTTATTTTTAAACTCTTTTGCATGCATGTTTATAGCCACAGAAAAGCTTGAGCTAACTTTGCAAGTTTGAAGAAAGTGTTAAGTAATGCTAGGGTGTGCTTTATCATTTCACAGTACAGAAGTAGAAATATTTCTAAGAAAGCTTTTAAGTTCAACTGTTACACTATGCTTGTGATATTTTTAACATTTATTTCCTTTGTTTCATAATCAACTAAGAAATAACTCGTTTAGAATTACCTACCTTAAAATAATAAAAATCATAGTGAGAATATTTCTTCAGAGCAATGACAAATTTTCTTTCCTAAAATTAAAGGAATAGAGTAAAGGGTGAAGTAAGGTTGGCCTATTGATTGACTCATTAGTCACTAATCACTTGTAAAGAAATCTATGTATAAACAGAATTAACCCATTATGATGGAATTTCTTTGCGTATACATACTGAGCCTCACACAAGGCTTTTTGCACAGGCAGCTGCTTTAGTGAAAATTAAAAGTGCAGAAGACATACTTTTACCCCTCTCACTCTGCATTTGGATCTGGCTTACATAAGTTTTAAGGAAATGAAATATATTTTGCCTGATTTTGAGCGACTATCTCTTCAGTGACTGCAGTCAGGGCCAAACAAGTGAACAGCTGCTTAACACACACAACTTAGAACAGGCTTAACTGCACATGTCAATGGATACATGCCATCCAGCTTGTAGGCCTTTCTGTGACATGATTAGATGTCATCTGGTGTGAGTGGATTGACCCTTTGACTGTTATAAGTTGATATAACTGCTATAAATATTATTACCATTAAGTGTGGAAAGCAGATTTATCCCATGGCCTTGGTGAGAGAGAGAGAGAGAGAGAGAGAGAGAGAGAGAGAGAGAGAGAGAGAGAGAGAGAGAGAGAGAGAGAGAGAGAGAGAGAGAGAGAGAGAGAGAGAGAGAGAGAGAGGAAAAAATCCTGCAAGAAATGGACATAGCCCTACTAACTTCCATACATTGTGCTGAATCACTAACCCAGTACATGCTACCTAAGGGTCTTAATCCTTTGAACATTTGCAAAAATTCTCAAACTAAAGTACTGAAAATTATTGCAGATGTAAAAATCATCAATTCTATTTTGTGGTGGAAATTTAACATCATTAATGGATTGGCCTTGAAATTTAATTTTGCAGTTAAGGGGATAATAGACTAAACTTTCAGGGGACAGGGCTTGTATTCATGCCATCCCAGCATGTATGGGTTAAGAATTGCATATATAGGTTTTAAGAATATTTAACTTAGTATGTGTATTTCGTAGCACACCCTCGTAAATTAAGGGATATCTACTGGCACATTTAATCGCTGTATATACTTGTTTCATTGCAGGTGAAAACCTAAGTCAGCACAACATCAAAGATGGCTTCACAGTGCACCTGGTGATCAAGAGTAGCCCCTCTGGCTCGTCCCAACCTAACAACCGGCCTGCCTCAGCCACCTCAGCCACCTCTGCTGCCAACTCCTCTTCTGCCTCCACTCCCAACACAGCAGCCAACAACCAAGCCAATGCTGCCAACCCTTTTGCAGGCATGGGTGGTCTTGGAAGCCTGGGACTGGGGGGACTGGGGGGGCTAGCCAACATGGGCATGGGCAACCCCAACTTCCAGGAACTGCAGCAGCGCATGCAGAGGGAGATGCTGAACAACCCTGAGATGATGCGCCAGATCATGGACAATCCCTTTGTGCAGCAGTTGATGAACAATCCTGAGTACATGAGGGCTATCATCACCTCCAACCCACAGATGCAGCAGCTCATGGAGGTAAAGGACTTCCATGCATGTATACAATAGGAAAGTTTCTTGGGTAGGATTTAACCCGTAAATTTTGTAATTTGTCAACCTCCCCTTGCTACCCAGCTGCAAATAGGAATAGACTTGTCATCTTTTAGTGTATATGATTTTTATATTTAATGATTATAAAGTTCAAACCTACACATCAGGAAATGTAAGTATGATATGTCACAAAGTAATCAAATGGTAGTATGTCAGAGTTAAAAAAACAAACAGGGAATTGGGAGAATTTGAAAGGAAGAAGAAATTAATGAAGGAATGAAAGAGCAAAAGAAAGAGGGAATTAGAGAGAGAGAATTTGGGAATGAGAGAGAGAGAGAGAGAGAGAGAGAGAGAGAGAGAGAGAGAGAGAGAGAGAGAGAGAGAGAGAGAGAGAGAGAGAGAGGGAATTAGAGAGAGTGAGAATGAGTGAGTGGGGGGAAGAGAGAGAGAGAAAGAGAGGATGGAGGAGAAAGAGAGAGAAAGAGAGGATGGAGGAGAAAGAGAGAGAAAGAGAGGATGAAGGAGAAAGAGAGAATGGAGGAGAAAGAGAGAGAGAGAAAGATAGAGGGGAGGAGAGAGTGAGAGAAAGATAGAGGGGGGGGGGGAAAGACAAAGATAGAGGGAGGAGAGAGGAGAGAGTAGGAGAGAGAAAGATAGGGGAGAGAGAATGAGTGAGTAGGGGGAAGAGAGAGAGAGAAAGAGAGGATGGAGGAGAAAGAAAGAGAAAGAGAGGATAGAGGAGAAAGAGTGAGAAAGAGAGGATGGAGGAGAAAAAGAGAGAAAGAGAGGTGGAGGAGAAAGAGAGAGAAAGAGGAGGATGAGAGGAGAGAAGAGAGAATGGAGGAGAAAGAGAGAGAGAGAAAGATAGAGGGGAGGAGAGAGTGAGAGAAAGATAGGGGGGAGGAGAGAGAGAAAGATAGGGGGAGGAGAGAGAGAAAGATAGGGGGGAGGAGAAGGAGAAAGATAGGGGGGAGAAGAGAGAGAAAGATAGGGGGGAGGAGAAAGAGAAAGATAGGGGGGAGGAGAGAGAGAAAGATAGGGGGGAGGAGAGAGAAAGATAGGGGGGAGGAGAGAGAGAAAGATAGGGGGAGGAGAGAGAGAAAGATAGGGGGGAGGAGAGAGAGAAAGATAGGGGGGAGGAGAGAGAGAAAGATAGGGGGGAGGAGAGAGAGAAAGATAGGGGGGAGGAGAGAGAGAAAGATAGGGAGGAGGAGAGAGAGAAAGATAGGGGGGAGGAGAGAGAGAAAGATAGGGGGGAGGAGAGAGAGAAAGATAGGGGGGAGGAGAGAGAGAAAGATAGGGGGAGGAGAGAGAGAAGATAGGGGGGAGGAGAGATAGAGAGAGATAGAGAGAGATAGAGAGAGAGAGATAGAGAGAGATAGAGAGAGATAGAGAGAGATAGAGAGAGATAGAGAGAGAGAGAGAGAGAGAGAGAGAGAGAGAGAGAGAGAGAGAGAGAGAGAGAGAGAGAGAGAGAGAGAGAGAGAGAGAGAAAGAGAGGGGGGAGAGAGAGAGAAAGAGAGGGGGGAGAGAGAGAGAGAGAGAGAAAGAGAGGGGGAAGAGAGAGAGAGAGAGAAAGAGAGGTGGAAGAGAGAGAGAGAGAGAGAAAGAGAGGGGGGAGGAGAGAGAGTGAGAGAAGGTTTAAGGTTTAAAGGTTTAGTTTGATTCCATTTGCTACAATGAGTATTCTTGGTGTGACACATACTGTCTGTTTCATTTTGCTTCTAAATTATCCAGTGTGTGCAAGGAATGGCCAGGGTTACCATCCACTGGCAGCGAGGGTTTTAAATGCAGGTCAACATGATTGCTAGATGTGAGATAATTACCGCTGCACCACACAGTACAGGAGGAGAGGGAGAGAGGGGGGGGAGTAGAGGGGGAGAGAATTTAGAAGCATTTTCAATTCTCTCTATACTGTTGCTGAGAATTCTGATTTGTACAGTCAAGAGTCAGGTACTGGTACAATGACTTTCTAGCTCAAAATCCATAGGGCATATTCTTTTATATCTGTCTACAGGTGAAAATGATTTGTTTAGAATTTGTTTTGATATCTATGAAACAAATATAAAACATTATGCTGAATTAACATTTAAGATAGATAGATTTTGTAGTAAAAACATAGAAAGTTTCAGAGTAAGACAGAGTACATATCACTGATGAATCTGGCAGAAACTGAAGCAAAGGATTATGTAAAGGAAGTGTAATTTCATGCATTGTATCCATTCTTATACTTTTATTTTTACTGTCATTGACAGAGGAATCCTGAGATATCCCACATGTTGAACAACCCTGAAATGTTGAGACAGACTATGGAGCTTGCCCGTAATCCAGCCATGTTGCAAGAGCTCATGAGATCCCATGACCGTGCACTCTCCAACTTGGAGTCCATTCCTGGTTTGTTGATATTTAGTTTTGTTGATGTGTAAGAATATTGGGGTTATTGTTATAGTGACTTTTGTGCTTAATTTTTTCTTGACTTTATTAATCTGATTTACAAAAATCAATTTGGAGATAGTTATTGTTATACCTGTTAAATGGTCATCACTAGATTTTGGAATGAATAAGATTTGAATGTGAGACATGTTTGTATAAGATTTGTAGTAACGCTTAAACTCTTTCTTTCGCATTCAGGTGGATACAGTGCACTGCAGCGTATGTATCGGGATATCCAGGAACCAATGTTAAATGCTGCTCAAGAGCAGTTTGGATCAAATCCTTTTGCTTCTCTTCTAGGCAGCAATACAGCTGGAAACAATTCTGGTATGTGGATGTGAAGAAAAAGTTTTTAATATTGTACAAAGTAGTCCTTTTATTAACTGACTTTCTCTTTATAGGCTTTATATTAATGCTAATTTAGTAACATGTCTTAACCGAGAGAATTGCTCAGTAGATGCGGCACAAGCTGGCCGTGAGAACAGCGACCCCCTCCCGAACCCCTGGGCTCCAAGGACCACCACCTCCACATCCACGGCCTCCTCCTCCACACCGACCACCAGCACCACCAGTACCAGCCAAAGTACCACCACCTCCTCCTCCACTACCAGTGGCAATCTTGGTGGAGGGTTGCCAGGCATGTTTCAGAGCCCCGGCATGCAATCACTGATGCAACAGATGATGGAGAACCCTCAGTTGATGTCATCAATGATCAATGCTCCATACACACAAGCTATGTTTCAGGTTTGGAGAAGTCCCATTTTATTGTTATTGATACTGTTTGTTTATTTGTTATTATTATTATCATATTATTATTATTTGTTATAATTATTATTATTTTTAGATTTATATGTTTTCATGTACTCTTACAATCTTATGAATGTCTTATGACTTCTGATGTCAATTTTCTTAATGATTGTTCTCATTGTTTATGTGAAAATAGTATAAGTGACAGTATTATTTTCCCTCCAGAGTCTTGCTGCCAATCCAGAGTTAGCACAACAGATTATTGGTTCTAATCCCCTGTTTGCGGGCAACCAAGTGCTCCAAGAGCAGTTACGAACAATGTTGCCAACCTTCTTGAATCAACTCCAAAATCCTGAGGTGCAGAACTTCATGAATAACCCACAGGTATGTATAAAGAAGTTTCTCCTCAAAGCTGTTGTATTTACATTTTTGAGAGATTTTGCAACCTGAATTCTGCAAGTTCTCCTGATTCTTGTGATTTTATGTTTTTGAAAATAATGGAAACTGAAAGAGATGGGATCAAAGTTCTACTAGATGTTATGGTAGAAACATATAAACAAATTTATTTAAAACACTTGTAGATTCTCTAGGAATTTCTAGCCTCACCATAATTCAACGGAAGAATTATATAGTATCGGTATATACAGGTTTGCATTGGCCAGTTTGTAAAACACTCTGGAAGCAAAACTCAAAATATAATTGAGGTAAATCTCACATTGAATTTTGAATTTCTAAAATGATACCAGATATGTAGTCGAATATTAAATCTTCCTAATAATAATGAGTTTATGAAAATTTAATTAGTGACTCGCCAGACACAAATACCAAATACGCTTTATTGTAAGCTATTGAAAACAGAATGATGGGCTGGTAAGATATCCTACCCATTGTTTTTTATACTTATTCACATTTGATATCCCTAATCAATTTCTGGATGAGAACTGGAAGTACTCACACCCTCATTTTCCACTGCAGGCGCTTCAAGCAGTTGCTCAGATTCAGAATGGATTAGAGCAGCTTAGACAAACCTCTCCTGGGCTGTTCAATACCATGGGCCTTAACATGCCTCCCCTCATTGTACCCGGAGCTTCCACCACTCAGACGGCATCAACGACCAGCTCTACCACAACCACCACCTCCTCATCTGGCAACACCTCTACCACACCATCTATACCTGGTCTTGTACCGGGTACGGATGCCTTTGCTAATTTAATGTCAACCATGGTGAGTATTTTTAAAAGGGTTTCCTTGTATAGGTTTGTCCTAACCTGTAAAGAGTCTTGATGTTTATTGCTAAAATGTTTATCTTGATTTGCAAAAGTTTTTTTTCTTCTTTTTTCTTTTAGTCTTTCAGGTGTATGGTTTCCAAGGAAAGCAATATTTCCCCCCTCTGAAATTGAATAAACAATGCTGAAAAGAAAACTCAAAATAAATACTTTGCAGTGAAACTCGTTTAAATCTGATTGTCAGTTTCTTTTGCCATGTGGAATTAAATATCAAAGGAACCAGCTGTGTCGTGGAATACCATTTTGTTACACACATTAAGTCTTCTATGTACTTGTTACTTTGTAAACTTCATACCACATGTGTAGCCATATTTTAAGTATGCAAAGGCTTTAACACTTAAGTTTCCTTATGATCTTTGGGTTACACTCTTATTTGTTTTGCTATCCTTATTTTTCATATTCATATTAATAAAACAAAAATAAAATGTAGTAGGATTTGTTGGTCCTCTTATCCCCCTACACAACAGATTACATCCTGAAGTGTCATAACTAACTGCTTGATATGTGGTGTGTGGCTGTTCGCTACAGCAATGCGCCAAAGCGCTACAAGCCAGTGATTCGTCTTGATGTACCGAACTCCCGCACTCAAATTCGGCGTGTTGCCATTGATCTCCTGAGTGTAGATTTTTTTTTCTTTTCTTTTCGTTTTATATTTTTTTCTTTTCTTTTTTTTTTTTTTTTTTTTTTTCTTCACCCATCATTATGATGATTCTCAATGAGAAAGAGAAGTAAAGGAGGAGGGAACCAAAACCTGCTGTTGAAATATAAAACATTTTAAAAGGTGCAGATACTGTGTTAATTCATTCATATTTTTGTACTTCTTTGCAGTCACAAGCCCTGACTGGAGGTGGAAGTGGAAACCCAGAGCAACAGTATGCATCACAGCTAGATCAACTTTCTGCCATGGGATTCATTAACCGTGAAGCAAACCTGCAGGGTATGTATGTGTTTTTTATTATCATATTGACAGTACTTAATTCCACATCTCTCTCTGATATACATTAAGGTTACTGAAAAGGGTTCCTGGTACAAAGTAAAACTAATGATTTACTTTTCTTTCCAGCTCTTATTGCTACTTTTGGAGACGTTAATGCTGCAGTAGAGCGGCTGCTGTCCCGACTAGACCCCCAGAGCTAAGGCACTGCCTTTCCCCTATTCTAGAGCCCAGAAGATTCATGTCCCTCTTTAGTTTCATCCTGATAGTGTTTGAATGCGTGAATGTGTGATTTTGTGTGTGTGTGTGTGTGTGCGTGCATCTGTGCATGTGTGTAATACATGTAACTGGTTGATTATTTTGTTGTTTCATTTTTGTTTGCTTTACATTGTTTTATATTATCATAATCCTTTTTTCCATATTTTTTGAGTAATTAATCAATGTAGCACTCTCTGTAGCTGATAAGACTTGGGCATCTTAGTTGGTCAGTTTACCTCCTGATATTTCAGATTTTGTTCTGAATATCTACAGATTATATTGGAAGAAGCCCATGACTTGGTGTATTACACACCATTAAGCATATCAGACTTGTGGGTCTGCATTGTCATGCATTAGGGTTTGCTGCATATAAGTGAGGTCAGAGTACATTTGTAAAGATTATCAGCAAGTTTTATCTTTCTTTGTTGTAGGAGGGTCTGTGTATGTTTTTATATAGTCTGTTATAATCTTGTACATAATCTACACAACAAATGTCAACAGCTAGGCATGCAGTTGGTTAAGTTTCCAGTGGCAGAGATTTGTGAGTGCTGAATAATAATATATGATTATATTTTGATATGTACTGAATTTAAGGATAGCCAGGTATTGCCTTCATGCATAGAATATGAATAAAAGCCGAGACAGGTGATTTCTATTTTATTGATAAATTTTCATGATTAGACATAGTTTTTCCTTATGGTACTGAATTCAAAAGGTCTGTTGTGATCACTCTTGTGCGTGACACTGGGTAGACCCATAGTTGTTCGGTAGTATCTGCTGCTGTGTGAAACTTGATTAATTTGTTTCCAACTTTTTCTTCACCCAGTATTAATAAAATCTGGTCACCCTGTTTTCTCTCACACAATGATTTCGTATGAATGTCTTTGCAGTTAGATGTTTTTTTTTTTTTTTTTTTTTTTTTTCTTTCTTTCTTTCTTTCTTTCTTTCTTTTTCTTTATTTCATTCTTAGCTTAATGTTGTTTTTTTTCACAATTTTAACTTAATGGATGTCAAATTTATTTTAAAATATGCCAGAAATTAAAGTATTACAGGAAATTGAATATTCTCTTGTTTGTTCTTTCATAATGTGCAATTTGGTATGAAATTTCAGAACGTACTGTAGAAATGGTGATTCATCTGTAAAATTGAAATGGTAGGGGAGGGAAAAGGTCTGATGATGTTATTGTGTTGTACTCACATAGGCAATTATTTTTTTTGCAGAATGTTAAAGAAGAGAGGATAGACTTTGTTGATGTGCCTATCTCTTAAGAATTTTGATAAATATGAGAGGAAACTTCACTTCAGTGGGAAAAGCCAGTCCAGTAGTTTTATTGTAGATTTTATTTTTCCTTGTTACTCTTCTCTCTTACTATGAGACTAGTTAAATGAATAACTTGAGTCATCCAGCTGAGCTCAGATGATGAACATGGGCCCACACAGCTGCCGAGTTGTATTCAGAACTATGAGTCATAACTTAGCTACCCCAGTGATGTTTAGCTCACAGTTGAGTGTTTATTTTTGTGGCATGTAGACACAGAGGATCTTATCAAAGAATTATGTTTGGAATTTTGATAGATTAAACATAATACAGTAAGCTAGATTTTCTGTGTTTGACTGAATATAGTAGCTACAGAGGGAATACTTTGTGTCAGTGTCTGTGACTGGAGTTTGTGATTACTGAGAAAAGACAGCTGACATCTAAGACATTAATTATCAAAATGCTTTGTCTTGTATGATTTGTAAAGGAGTTGATCTGGCATTGCTTATTTATATACAGTAATCTACAGTGTATAAACTTTACTTACATTGTTAAGCATCTATATCTGTTTGTTTGTTTGTTTTTTATTTTATTAACTTTTTGTGAGTCTTGTTGAAAAACAAATTTTTCCATGCATATACTTTAGACAAAAGTGAATATTTGTAACTATAACAAATGACATCATGGTATTGTATTCATACATTGCTACATATGTCGTGTTCATCTCAAGCCAATTGTAATTAAAGTCACAGATTAACAGTTATCAGGATGCTTATAAAAATTAAGCTTCCTATTTATCAGAACAAACTGGCTTAATAAATGCATATGAATACCAAGATGGTCATTAACTTTTTCAGTTACTTTTACCCCCATTACTTCTGGATTACGTGAGGTGTCTATGTAGAAAATGAGATGCAAGAATGAGGGTGTATTTATGACAAAATTTACTGGTCTTTATTTTTGCAAGGAGGGTTTTTAGATTTGGAACTCTGTGTAGTGTAGAAGAATTGGGTTTTCATTGGCAGACTTTGAAGCATTCCTAAAAAATGGTCAGTATTTAGCAGTGTTTTTCTTTACAATTGGTAAGTGAATTAAAAAAAATCATTTTGGCAGGTATATGTGATATATTCCTTGCTATAGAGGCACCCAAGAAGGCCTACTCTGTATTTGTTTTTCCCTTTCTTTATTTTTTTTATTCCTCTCGGTAAAATAGAATATCATAAATCACTTCATTTCTAAACGTGCCCCTCATGTTCATACAAACACTTGTTCATACCACAGTAGGAAAAAATAGTTTGACTGGATGTGTGAGTGTAAGCTGGCATTCCATTTGACTAAGCCAGACTTGGCAATTGACTGATGTATGTGCCCTTGATGGCACTCTCTGGCCATGGATCATCAACCAGCCAAGTAAAGCTATGCATTACTGTACCATCTGAGATGTGGTGGGAAACAAGGAGATAATCGAGAACCAATCCATGGGATATGTGAAAATTTATTGTGAGGAAGTCTTTTTTTCAATTGAAAATTATTAGGAATGTCTATTCTAGATCTTTGTCTTTTCTTTTTAATCAGTTGTTTAGTCTAAAATAAATCTTCATACGTCTGAGAGTGACATTACATTAATGTTATTAGTGTGTGAAGTTCTTTGAGAAAAGTTGATTCAGGTTGTCTTCATGGTTTCCCACTACATTTGCGTCTTGACTTGATGATCATCTTTTTGATGAATACATGCATGTTCTGCCACTCTTGACTCTGTGTATGATAACAGCTCTTCATCTCAAGACACTGCTATATAGTTATGTTGTAAGCAGAGAATATGATCTCCAGTACCCCATGTTATGAAATGACTTGCGTTAAAAGATTGTAATGTTGCCCGCAAGAATTGTACTGGGTTTTATTGGAATGTACACTTTTTCATTTGAATATTAACAGGCATTATACCATTTGTCTAGGGAGAAGTATTTTTATTGATATCCTTCCATCTTCAGATGTATAATACGATATTCATGAGTGAAGTTTTATTAAACATTTGGTGACATTGATGTCAATGCACCACAAATCTGTCAGGTTTTGCTTGGTGCCCAGCCATGTCAGAATCCCTAGCACACTCCTCCACCACACCAACCCTGTTTCTGTATTCCAGCCACAGACTATTATCTTTCTGATCAAGTCTTTTCACCTATAACCCCCCCAATCCCTTGCCTGTTGTTGTCGTGGGGGGCTTAGGAGGCGGAGACTGGGACCCAATGATGGGAAATTCCCCAACCTTGGGACTCAGCCCTCGACTCAACTAATTTTGCATGGTCTTTTTTCCCTTCCGACTTTTTCGTTTCTGTCCCTTCACCAATCCCTTCTACTATCCACCTCCTAAGGTGTGAGAGCAGTGCTGAAAGGATGAAAGGCTGACTTTGTGCCAGTCCTGAACGGCCTGAGGGAGCCATGGGCATGGTATTCCCTTGCTTAGGCCTAGCCCTTACCCCTCAAGGGGACCCTGAGGGGTGGACTGTTTCTCTCCCCAACATACTCCTGGCTTACCATGGCCAATAATGAAAATGTAACCCCACTATTAGGGGCAATGAGGCTTGCCCCTTCATCAAATAGCCCCAACATTTCAAATCCTCCCGATTCCCTGACCCCAGGCTCTCCTTTGACCACGGCTCTGAACGCTGCAACAACTACCCCCTACTTAATGCCTACTAGTACAGTAGTCAACACTCAGCCCCCTAGAGACATTCCTACTCTCCCACCATGCTTAACACCTCTACCTCCACAACCTTCTACATCAACTACCCCATCCTCCCTTATTAATACCTTACAGCCTTATTGCCCACCTCTCCATAACACTACCTCCCTCAACACTACTTCCTCTTCGACACGCCCCCGCCCATCTACTACCCCTATCTCTACAACAATCCTAAATATTCTATTTAGCCCAGCCAAATGGGACCGATGTTTCGTGATCCCTCCCACAGCTCCCTACTCTGACAACACCCTTTTCTTCCAGCAATGTCTTCAAAAAACAAGTAGTCAAAGTCTCTTTCCGTAGCCGACCCGACCGCTCCCGTCTCCCGTCTCGTCACAGTAACATCCGAAAACCAAGTTATAGCAATAGCAAAACTAACTGATCTATATGGTAACCCTATCCTTGCAGAACCCCATCCAACCCTCAATACTTGCACCGGAACTGTTTCTATCTCCCCAGCAAACTGCCCAATCTATGACAGAGATTGGTCAGATTGTGGAGAAGATTTACTCGCCTGTCTCACAGACTATGATGCGACATCAGTACAATGCTATTCCATTCCTCCCAGAAGTCATCGTAAGAAACCCACTAACATCGCCAAAATTACTTCCGTAGACATGACCTCCCATTTAATGTTTATATAGGTGGAGAATCCCTCCCTGTCCGAACATACCAACCTCCTCGTCAGTGCCAAAATTGTTGGCGTTTAGGACACCCAGACAAACATTGCCGTTCTACAGCTAGATGCCCACTATGTGCCCAACCTGGCCATACTCGATCAAACTGTTCTGCACAATCACGCACATGTGCCAACTGTGGTGATCCTCATAATGTATTTTATAGGGGCTGCCCCACCTACAAATTTGAGTCTGAGGTAGCAACTCTCAGATTCAAACTTGGACTCACACTACGTGAAGCCAGACAGGAAGCACGTCGACGAGGTTTTTCTCTTAATCCCTACTCCAGTAATATTGCACATTCTACCACTTTCTCCTAAACCTACTCCCCCTCCATCTAACTCCTCCTCTTCTACCTCCTACCTTCCCCAGTCAAACTCTTTTGCCATCCTAAATCCAGACACTCCAATCTCTACTACAGACACTCCAATCTCCACTACAACCCCAACACCTTCCCCTCTCCCTCCCCGCACTACCCGCAACAGACAAAACAAACGTTCCACCCCCTCTTCCCCTACCACACAATCACTTCCACCTTCCTTTGCCCCTACTCTTGAGACACCAGTCTTCTCTTCCCCCCCTCACAAGAAATCCTTTATCCCATAAAACTCCCCAACCAACTCCATTGAAGAAACTTGAAAATATTCAAGAGTTCTTAATGAAAACTGACACCCATCAACCTTCAAATCCTACAACTCCTGCTCCCTCCACACACCAAGTGACTGCCGATATCCATCCTCCTCCTAACGATATCCCCCCTACACCCTATCCTCCTAACCCCTTCCAACACAGCCCATCCCCCCCAACTCCAACCCCACCCACATTAACCCTCCCACCATCCCCTCTATCCCTTCCACTCCCTCCTGGATACACACGTGAATCCCTTATATCACAACCATCCCCTTCCACACCCGTCTAACACACCCCTATCTGATGTCACAATCCGATCCACCCCTATGATCCTTATGTAATGTTCCTCTTTCAGTCTCAGACATTCTTTTATCATGCACATGTTTTGAAGCAGCCTATAGCTCTGCTTCCCCCCCCCCCCCCCCACCTATCCTCTCTTCACCGACCTCCCAACCTATTCTGCTTCGACAACCTGTTTTCCTCTCAAACGCATAAATATCCCTCACTTAATCTAACCCCTTTACATTACCTCACACGACCTTAACCCATTCACTCACTAATTCCTTTGCCCAGCTTTGACAACTAATCACTAACTTAACCACCCTTTACTAACATTTACTATAGTGCTACATGACTTTAGATGTCTAACACATTTATTTTGCTTTTAACCATTAACCATTAACCATTTTCACCTACAAATTACATCAATCTCCCCTCTTGATCAGCCCCATTTCATCAGAACAGACACTGGGAGACGGCTATTGCCCACTTGAGTGTTGGCTGCACCTACTTTATGCACTCCTATCTCATGTCACCACACCAATCCCTTGCTCGTTATTGTTGGGGGCTTTGGAAATGGGGACTGAGGCCCAGTGTAGGGGATCACCCCTACCTTGGGCCTCAGCCCTCATCTCAACTAATATTGCATGGTCTTTTCTTCTCCTTTCCTTTTCCTTTTCTTCTTCCCCCAGTTCTGTACACTTATCCTAATTGCTAACTCATTTTTGGATGTTGATGCTGTCAATCTGAATCATAAACCCAGACCATTACTCAACCCCCAACCATTGCTTGTCGTTGTCGGGGGGGGGGGGGGGGTAGGAGACGGAGACTGAGGCCCAGTGTATAATCACACCTACCTTGGATCTCAGCCCTCGCCTCAACTGAGTTTGTATGGTCTTCTTCCTCTTTCCCTTTCCTTCTTTTCTTCATCCCCTTCTCCTATCCACTTCTTAGAGTGTGAGAGCTGTGCTGGAGCCATGGGCACGGTATTTCCTTAGTTAATCATCTCTCAAGGCTTGTCCATTCTTCAGCTAACCTATCTGAATTTGATATTACTGGTTTCCTTTGACAATGGCTCCTGTCACTGATATTAGTGCCCCTCCTCGATATTTGCTGTGAACTCTATCTATTCCGAATCATCCACCCAGGTCATTACTCAACCTTCAGAATACACCTCTTCAGCTCCCCCAACATCCACTCCATCTCCTACTGCACAGTCTTCGTCAGTGTCTGCCCCTCCCCCCAAATTACTACTCCTCATCCTTATTAACCTCCTCCACACAGTACTACCTTTCTCCATACTACGACATCTTCCTCCAGCCCCCCCCCCCCCCCCAATCCCTTGCCCGTTGTTGTCGTGGGGGGGCTTAGGAGGCGGAGACTGGGACCCAATGATGGGGAACTCCCCAACCTTGGGACTCAGCCCTCGACTCAACTAATTATGCATGGTCTTTTTTTTCCCTTCCCACTTTTGTTTCTGTCCCTTCACCAAACCCTTCTGCTATCCACCTCCTAAGGTGTGAGAGCCGTGCTGAAAGGATGAAAGGCTGACTTTGTGCCAGTCCTGAACGGCCTGAGGGAGCCATGGGCACGGTATTCCCCTGATTTAGTTATCTAGCCCTTACCCCTCAAGGGGACCCTGAGGGGTGGACTGTTTTTATCCCCAACATAATCCAGGCTTCCCATGGCCAGTAATGAAAATATATCTCCACTATTAGGGGCAATGAGGCTTGCCCCTTTATCAAATAGCCCCAACGAAGTAAACCCACCTGATTCCCCGACCCCAGGCTCTTCTTTGACCACGGCTCCGAACACTGCAATAACTACCCCTTCACCAATGCCTACTAGTACAGTAGCCAATAATCAACCCTCAAGGAACATTTCCACTCTCCCAGCATGCCCAACTTCAACACCTCTACCCCCACAACCTCCAACATCAACCACCCCATCCTCCCTTATTAATACCTTACAGCCTTATAGCCCACCTCTCCATAACACTACCTCCATCAACACTACTCCATCTTCGTCACGCCCTCGCCCTTCTACCACCCCTATCTCTAAAACAATCTTGAATACTCTCTTCAGTGCAGCCAAATGGGACCGATTTTTCGTGATCCCTCCCACAGCTCCCTACTCTAACAACACCCTTCTCTTCCAACAATGCCTCCAAAAACAAGTAGGTAAAGTCTCTTTCCGTAGCCGACCCGACCGCTCCCGTCTTGTAACAGTAACATCCGAAAACCAAGCCATAGCACTAACAAAACTAACTGACCTATATGGTAACCCCATCCTAGCAGAACCCCATCCAACCCTCAATACTTGCACCGGAACAGTCTCAATCTCCCCAGCAAATTGCCCAATCTATGACAAAGAATGGTCAGATTGTGGAGAAGATCTACTTGCCTGTCTCACAGACTACGATGCAACATCAGTACAATGCTATTCCATCCCCCCCAGAGGTCATCGAAAGAAACCCACTAACATAGCCAAAATTACCTTCCGTAGACATGACCTTCCCTTTAACGTCTACATAGGAGGAGAATCCCTCCCTGTTCGTCCATACCAACCTCCTCCACGTCAGTGCCAAAATTGTTGGCGTCTAGGACACCCAGCCAAACACTGCCGTTCC